CGTCAGCGCGGGGCGCCGAGGGCGGGGCTCCGCGGGGAGGGGGCGGGGCGAGCGGCGCGGCGGAGGAAGTGATGGGGCCGCGGCGGGAAGGAAGAGGTGAGAGGAGACCGCCCGGGCCCCGCCCGTGTGTGTCCGTGTCTGTGTGTGCGCGCGGGACCCGGCGCTGCCGCGGCCCCCACAGTGGCCCGGGGTCTGGCGGCGCTGGGCTCGGCTGCTCCGGGCGAGGTAGTGCTGCCTGCAGCTCTCCCTGTCAGTAGCTGCCCGGCTGCGGCCGCCCTGGGGGTGACAGTCCTGTGTGCGGCTGCCCGGGCTGCAATGGCCCCAGGTACAGTTGCCCTCGGCGCAGCGGCTTCATGTGCAGCTGCCCTGGGTGCAACGCCCCCACGTACAACTGCCGGGGGTGCAGCTGCCCGGGGTACCACAGTCCCACGCGCAACCGCCTCGAGCAGAACTGCTCCTTGTGACCTGCCCCAGCCGAAGCTGGCCACCTCGGATGTAGCGAGCGCTGCGCTGCGTCTCGTTGTTGGCCATCTGCCCCTTGGAGGACGACAGTCTCTGCCGTGGGTCCTCGATGGGTCTTGAGGTGATTCAAGAGTCTAATCTCTGAGCTACAGATTCATCCGCCAAGGTTGCAGGTCTGCTGGGGAGAGTAGGCCGCAGGCTAGGAGGCCTCTCCTTGTCCTTCCTCTGCGCTGTCTTCTCCACTTTGAGGGCAAGAAGCTTTATCTTGAAACAGACTGTCACTTGGTTGAGGTTGTGGCATTGCTAGAGTTGGCCAGCTCTATCTATCTATCTATCTAGCTGCTTTGCTTAGTTTATAAGGTACAATTTTACCCTGCCTTCTTCAAGAGATGACACCTGGTTACAGCCCGTAAGCCCCCTGCTTCCACAGCAGGCAGCTCAGTCCTACGTCCCTAGGACCTGTGTCTGACACAGGAGGATGTTGCCTTTTGATCTATGATAGAAGCAGTATCTCGTGGGTGCTTTTGTAGGAGACTTTGCCCAGTTGCCAGGGGCATGCATGTCTGCCCACCTTGGCATCACAGCCTGGAAGGCCTTTCTGCCCACTTGCTGTTGCCCTGCGGGTGCTAAGTCCCACCCGGGAGGCAATGCTGTGCTTACTGCTGGGGGCTCAGGGCTGCTATGAAGGAATTGCCTAAAGCTCTTCTGTCACTTGAGGCTGCTGCTGAGGAGTGCGGTGCGGCTCGGCTCAGCCAGCACCTGCCAAACCTGGAGGCGAGGTGCTTGAAGCCACCCTCTTTCCACTGCTCTTAAGGGCCGGAGCTTGAGAGTGGCAGCTGGGGGCACACCTGAGGCAGCCCCACTACCCTGTTTCTGGGTTTCGGAGGTACAGCAGATGGATGGGGGTCATACTTCTTGGCAGTGCACTAAGGTGGCACTGCTAGCCTGTGCAAAGTGGGGGTCTGCTTTATGGAAGTGTTTCTGGGTGCAACACAGAGATGGTCTGGACAAGGCCTCTCTGCATCTCATAAGCATCTTATTGCCCCGCTCTCAGGAGACTTTTTCCAGGTGTTAGTTTTAGAGGTGGACCCAAACCTCATTGAAATGAATGGGAAGACTTCAGTTTACTTTTATTGGCTTTGGATCAGATTCTCATAGCAAGGTAGTGGTTAATAATAACAGTAGTAGTAGTAACAAGGAGAATAAAAACAGCACAGCTTCCTCCAAACCTCAACTGCTTCTGTATATAGAGAGCTGTATCTGTCAGCTCTGTTTAGTGATTTGGGGATTTGAGTGTCTGAGTATGTGACAGACCATAAGGAAGATGAGAAGGACCCGAAGACTATGTGCACATACACACGCACATGCACACACACTTTCCTCCAAACCAGAGCATCCCCAGCAGTTATCCTGTCATAAGTTTGCTCGTGGCTTAAAGGAAACAAAGTGATGGAGAGTTGTCTTTCGGCCACGAGAGAGTGGTTAATCTGATCAGTGTGATATAGAAAAGAGAGATACTGAGCTTTCCTGCGTCTTGTTGCAGAGTACTCACCCCCACTTTGTACATCGCTGGAGTGGTGGCTGGAAAGGTTTGGAACACAGCTAGAAATATTTGTTGTAGAACAAACTCATTTTTGGAAAATTTGGGGGAGGGGGAGTAGCAAAAATGAATTTGCTGCCGAGGGTTCTAGCAGCCATCAACAGAATGAAAAGAATTACCCGCAGGTGGTACGTTTCTCTTGCTCTAAGACAAACGAAATTAGAGATCACAGTGCAGTAGTGACCAAGTCATAAACAAGCCAGTGTTTGATTCTTGGGAATAGATTTGACTTTGAGACAGGTGGGTCTTTGCGCACGCTCGACAGCGGATTTGCAAGAGAGACTGGAGTGAGGAGTGTTCCTGGTTTATATTTGACTAGGAGCGCGTCCAAGAATCTTTGTTCACACACTCCCTTGGATGCGGGCCGACGGCATCACCTCAGTTAGCATTTGCACTGCTTTTTCTCATGCTCTGTCTTCGCTTGTCAAGCTAGCAGGTAAATTGAGAGAAGGTGAATTTATTTCCTGAACCACGTTTTAAGCTGCAGCCATTGATCTAAAGCAGCTCCTTCATCTCCTTCAATAAAGTAATGATGTTGTTCATTAGTTCCTCTCACTGCTCGTGGCTAAATGTGCTGGAGTCCGATCACTCTTTCTTTTCCCCTTCTATCGGCCACTTACGAAAGTCAAACATTTCTAACGATGATATTGGTGTTTTTGGAAGACTCTCAATTCTGCTGATGCTTTTAAATGAAATATCTCCAGATGAATGCAATGTGGTGTTTCTTGTCCAGACAAACATTGTATTGCCAAGCACTTCAGATTTTGTAAACACTTTTTTCCCCCTTCGCTTTTGTATTGCTCCTGAAATTCTGCGTGTCGAGTGTTTCTTCTCTCACTCGATCCCCTCCTTTGGGAACTAATTTTGGCATTCCTAGTTCTTTTTTTTTTTTAATTGGATATCTTTGAGCTGAAAAATAATTTAGCAGCAGCTGGCAACAGGTCCACAAGAAAGCGAAGCATGTGAATATACTACAGCCAGCCCTTCACTTTGCTTGTGCATGCAGTGCTTTTGAGCTTACATGCTCTCTGCCTGCTCCAACTGCATGTGTTTTTGGGGTCTGATTCTGAGACGTGCTGTACAGTCCCATGACTTGCATGTGAATACAGCTTGCAGGATTGAGTTCCCTTCCCTCTAAAATTAAACTTCCTTTCTCTTGTGCAGATTCTGTGCCAGCCCTAATGTTGAGCCAGCTACTCACCTGGAACTTCAGCTCTTTCTTTTCAATAGTATCTACCCCTATGTTTTGTATCCCCCTACCCCCCTGCAACATTTGCAGATTTAGGCTCAGGTTCCCATGAAATGGAAAAGACACTTACTGAAAAAAGTGGTAGTTAGCAAATGTCTAATTTGTACTTCTCGCTTAGCCCATACGGAATGGGAGACTTAATATCCCACCTGTCTTTCTGGGAGGTTTGGGGTGGTTTTTTTTTTTTTTCATGATGTCTATGTTAAACGGATGGGGTATACCATCCAGAAAAGATCTGTTCCAGGATTGATGGAATTTTAAAGTCCCAGGACTGTAGAGGCATTGCCAAATGAGCTGCACAAGCCCGGCTCAGCACATCCGAAAGACCAGTGAGGCTAGGGACAGAAGTTACACATAAACTGGTTTAAGTGATCCAGAAACTGGTTTAAACCTGGAACAGAATAGAAGCTCAGTGCACATAAACCAGTTTCAAAATGGCTGAAACTGGTTTAAGATAAACCTGGTTGAATGTAGTATCAGACTTAACCGATTTAGTTCAAACTGGTTTATGTCTGTCCCAGACCTGTTCCTGGTTCAAGTGAAATCAGAGCCCCCCAGCATTTTTCAGCCCAAGGCTGGGCTGGGCTGAGCCATCTGCTCCAGAGAGCTGGAGCAGTGACGGCTGGCTTACTGCCTTTCCCCTCCCCCCCAGCATACTCCTGCTGGGATCTGGGGCCAGGGTTGGGGGTTAAACTTCCCTTCCCCTGAGTATGTAGCTGCCCTACCCTGCCTACTTAGAGGCACCTGGAAGCAGGAAGAGGAAGAGATGAGCAACCCTGCATAGTCCTTCTGCTATGAGTCTGGACTGCAAATCCCAGAGACCTCGGGGGCAGCAGGAAGAGGAAGCGAACACACACCCCATGCTGGCTGCCTGCCAGAGAGCCGTGCTCTAGCACCCTTCAGCTTCTGGCTTGAGCCACTGCAGGCATGTGGCTGCATTTCTTGAATCAAAAGTGAATGTTCATTTGCTTAGTGGGTCAATCTTTACAACTTAGACTAACCTGCAAAGATTGAATCAATTCAGACTCAGGCTTTTTGCCTGTCTGTACTTAGTTTGAAAGTCCCAAGATGTGTTCAGCAGAGATCATGAATGACGTGTGCCCCTGGTGCCTGGGGGGGCATGGCTGCGCTGGTGGTGGCAGGAGTGCGGCGGCAGCGGCGGTAAGCGTGGAGCTCCCGCAGACGCCACCAGCCCTGGCATGGTGGGGGTGGCAAGCGCCAATCGGGTTGGCGACCACCCACAGATGCTGCCAGCAGCGTTGGCAGCGGCGATTGCGGGCCGCCCGCAAGACACTGCTGGTGGTGGGGTGGCATTGTTGGCTTCTTTTTGTAGGGGGTGCACCACCATGCTCAGGGGGTGCACGTGCACCCGTGTGCACCCCCTACATGTCGTCCCTGGCAGAGATGCTTCTCTGGTGTAAGGAGCACTTGCCTCCTCTTTGCAGGAGACAGAACTTCCTTGGGAGCTGGCTCGAGACTGCAATGAACTCCCTCGGCACCTCATCCACGTGGAGGGTGCATTTCTGTGCTTTCACCTTCTCTCGCAAAAATGCAGTGCCCCCAAAGGGAGGAAGTAAACAGACAAACAAATCCCAGACCATAAAACCAGACTCCACCCTCCTCCGCCCCCTTCCCAGCAAAACCACAAACAAAGGAAAGCAAAAAAACCCTGGTCATACAAACGCACTTCATTGAATGCACTTTTTTCCTTGGAGAGAGGAAGAGGGAATAAACAACACATGCCCGAGGTTAGTCACTTTGCTTCCTGCAGTGATGCTTGGCTGTTGTGGTAATGAGGGTGGGATGAGACCCTATATAAACAGTGTGCATTTGGGCCATTGTGTAACAGTGGCAAGGCCAATTTCCTGAACACTTTTTGTGGCAAGGCACTGTTCTTTGAGGTGATGTTCTTACGTAGCCATTGACAGACCCTGGGGTCACCCCAATCCAAAGTAAATGGTCTTGCTTCCTTACGGAGAGATCCTAGGATACTTTAAAAAAAAAAAGTTGCATTTTTAAACTTTTGTAACTGCATTCTAGTGATTGGGCTGTGCATTGTTAGTGACAGCAGATGGCAAATGGCTCCGCCGCAGTTATTCCTGTAACTCATTGCTGTGAAGTTCCACGAACAGTGTCACAAAATCTCAGAAAGTGCCTCCATATTTTTCCTGCACAACATTGAAGCCACTTTAAATAAAAACACTCCGTATTATTCAGATTCCCTTAGTGTCATGTGACACTTTTGTAAAGATTGCCTTGCAGCAGTTTCAGATAAGTACATGTTTGGTAGCAATTGGAGGCCTGTGTCCTTTAAGTAATGCTTATTAGTACGTAACAGATGCTGTTTAGAAACATTATGCCTTTTAACAGGCTCTGCTTTTAGACTGCGTGTTCTGTTTTCCAAGGCAGACTGCAGATCAGCAAGCTTGGAGGTATGCTCTCGTTTATGCAAAGCCTAAGTCAATTTTCTGCTCTGAAATCAAGCCATGTGTTTTTCCTTGTTTCTTCCATTCTGGTCATAACCGTCTCGCTGAGGTTTTTTTCCCCCGGTCATATCTTTGGCTGCTTGTCGAGCCACTACAATCAAAGCCTTTTGCATTTTTAACCACCAGCAATGGTTTCATGTGTCCATACAGATGAGTCTGTGTAAAGCAAGTTTAAACAATCTCATATTTACTGTCAAGTGCATAGAAAGTACAGTGCCAGCCCCCTCCTATGAGCTGCTCAAAATGAAAAAGCAAAACAAAACACTGCATGGGTTTAGGCTCTGGAGCAACCTCAAAGACTTGCAGAATAGCTGGCACAATGGCACACAGAACAATGGAGACGGTTACATTTTTCCTCAACTCGATTCAGTTATTTCTTAGAGCAAGAAATTCAAGGAGAGCTGTTTTGGGTAGGACAGGTGAAGTACTTACTTTCACACTTCCATAAACCTGGCAGTACCTAGGTTTAGTTTGGATAGCTATAAATCCTGGAAAACCACTGGGGGAAAACGTTCCTCTTCCTTCCCTTTCTTGCTTAAATTAATGCATCTGCATTTTGAAAGGAGTCTGACTTCGGGGCTGATTCTTGAAAGCAATTAGCAGGAGGGCTCAGCACCTCCGAGGAGGCAGTTGGCACCTTGACAGGTTTGGAGCATTAGAAGCAGCTTTCTGGACAGAATATACTGGGCCTGATTTTTTAGAGGTACTGAGCACTGAGAGTGCCAGTTGAAATTATGGATGAACTGAGACTCCATGGCACCTCTGAAAATCTGTATAGCTCAGGGGTGGGCAATTATTTTGGGCAGAGGGCCACTTACTGAGTTTTGGCAAACCATTGAGGGCCACATGATAGCCAGCCAGGGGCAGATAAATATTAATTTTCTAAATTTTTTAGGGGCCCTGCGGGCCGGATAGAATGGCCTGGCGGGCCACATCTGGCCCCTGGGCTGCATTTTGCCTACCCCTGGTATAGCTCCACACACTGCTTAAATGATGGCACTACTAAAGAACTGTTTTTAATGGATTGCTAACTGCTAATCCTAGTCTTATCACGCAAGGGTGGGTGGGGACGGGGCCAGAGACTCTGCAATTTAAAAAATATATTCCTTGGCTTTCAGATGCAGATATTTTTTCAAATTGTTCAGTCTATCAGCTTTTCTGCCATCTCCCCTGTGAATGAAAGCATCTCTGAACCAGCATGCTTTCCAAACTCAGTTGTCAGCTGTTGTCTTTGGGCTTTTTTCTTGTTTACCGTGATGGGAGGTTTTGTCTGCATGGAGTCAGTCTTCTCTCTTCAGCGGTAAGGTGAATTGTATTTTAATCCTTATCTCTCCTCTCTGTCTTTCACCTACTTGCTCTCTCTCTCTACTCTCCCACCTCTGTGCCAAAACCAAAGTTACGTTGTCCTCGACTGTGGAACATCTGTATGCCGATGATTGTGCTGTTGCACATATGGAGGAGGACTTACAAACAGCCCTTAACTGCTTCTCTCAGGTATACCAGTGCCTGGGACTGACCATTAATATTAGAAAAACAAAAGTGTTTCACCACCTTGCTCTAGGCCAGTCAACTCCGCCAGCAAAGATCCTCACTGATGGACAGGAACTGGAGAACTTTGAACACTTTGTATACCTCAGCAGCCAACTCTCAGAGAAGGCCAACATCGACAAGTGGGATCCGATGTGCCAGCTCTGCCTTTGGAAGACTGCATCATCATCTGCTCAATGATCACAACATCAGGATTCGAACGGAGCTCCTACTATGAAAGCGTGGGGTAATCCCAACTCTTCTCTACAGCTTTGAAGCTTGGATGACCTACAGGGACCACCTGAAAAGCCTGGAACACCATCGTTAATGCTACCTCTGGACGATCCTTGCCATGGAGTGAGAGAGTCGTCACACAAATGCCAGTGTCCTCACCAATGCAAACACTACCAGCATGAATGCGCTGATTATTCAACATCAGCAGTGGTGGACAGAGCACTGCGTGCACATGCCTGATGTATATTTACCAAAACAGGTGCTATCCTCCCAACTCAATCAAGGACAAAGGGCTCATGGGGGCCAGAGGAAATGTTTCAAGGACACCCTCAAGGCAACCATTAGCAAGTAGGGTACTGACATAAATTGAGAAAAAC